TTTTTTGACTGTCTGTACATAGCCATGATGAATTTGGTCCACTCTTTATGTCACCTGATTTAAAATCCAGTTTTAATATATGTAGACTGAAAGTTTTTGATTAGATCTGTGGATACAAACACAAGTATACCCAGATATCTATCTTTATATTGGTATAAAAGTGGAGGGGAAACATGACTTACAGTCCAATATAGCTGTGGCTCAGTGTGCACTGAACTGGATGTGTGCATGATTATCTGCATGGAATGTATTTGATGGAATTTTATTAGTAGGACAGCTGTATGATCTGTGTTGGGGCTGTCCAACTGCTGGTCTGCAGGCTGCATGTGGCCCACAAGGGGTTAAGTTACAGCCCCCAGGCTCTTGCTCAGCTGTAGGTCCCACTATTGCTCCATCTGTACCAGCAGCTGGGGGCTTTGGACTCCCTCTCCCTCCTCTGGCTGCCTCCTCCTTCCTCTATCCCAGGGAGCCGGACAGTGCGGTATGCATTGTGGGGAGGTAAGGGTGAGTCCAGGGCCATGCAGTGCAGCGGTGGGAAGCTGGGGATACCTGTGTGGGTCCCAGGGGCCTGTGGCTTCCCTGGTGTGGCCTGCAGGGCATGCAGCTTTTGCTTGTATGGCCCATGGGACACGAGGCCCCTGGCCATTGGAAATTGAACAGCCCTGATCTGCACAATTACAATTAGTTGGAATTTTTTCCACAAAACAGTTTTACATTGGGAAATGCTGATTCATTGAACTGAAACTTTTCAAGGAAATGCATGCTTTTGACAAAAAAAAATCATTGTGAAGATTTTCTCAGCTTTAGGATGGAGTTTGTGATCACAAGAAGAGAGAAAGGGAGAGGAAAAGAACAATTTAGTGCCAAGTGCCCAATGGTTAAGGCATTAATTTGGAAGTTGGAAAACCCAAGTTCAAGTGCCTGTTCCCAATTGGTTCCCAAGCCATTGGGCTACTGGGTGCTCAGCTTTGGGTGTGTGAGTATATCTTGAATCCTTATTTTCTGGCCAGTCTTATGCATGCCACATTTTGAACTTCCATTAATTTTGATGAACATTCCAGAGACCCCGGGCTATTGGGACATGTGCTTATATCAGAAGGTAATCAAATCGGTGAATTTGATTACCTGCAATTCTAGATTTAAAAAAAATGTAAATATATATTAAAATTATTTCCTTGCAGTGAAAATCCCTGAAAAATCATTTTTTCCCACAAATTTTATGTAAGAAACAAAACCCACAATAAGCCCAACATATTGCAACTTGCACTATAAATTATTCATTGATTCTCAGAAAATCTGAAGAAGCAGAGAAAACATATTTGTTCACTGAAAATAACTATACAGATTTGAAAATAGCAAATGTTCATTTGAGAAAATGTGTGAAAACTTGCAATTTGTTTTAAAAAGAAACTTGGCCTTTTTTGTTGCTGTTGTTTTATGCCAGATTTGGCAACAATTGGTAAATATGATTAGTTAGATGGTTTCTCGTAAAAAACATTAAGAAATGCTCATGAACATGGAAATTGGTAGACAATGAGACCCTCAAGATCTGTCAATTTTTGGTGCTACAATGAGTATGTAGAATGTGTGAAATTAACCTCAGTTAACACTGAATCCATGTTTTGAACACTTTGCTTACACCATAAGGCAACTTGAGTCAGAGTTATAGGATCATACCAGTAGTTAATAAATCCAGTCTTCATTGTAGAAACCACCCTCATTGCTGGTATTAATTTACACCCTTGTTGAACATATTAGGAGGGAGACCAATATCTGAAACAGCGTAGAGACTGATTAGTTGCCTACATCTACAGATCGTTCCTGAAGCTAAAGTTCAGGAATACTGGTGAGACACACGGCAAAAAATGTAAAACATTACTTTTTTTCATTTGACTTAGGATAACAGCCTCTGTCACAGACCAGGACTGAATTATGATAGGTGCCATATAGAAACAGAGCAAAAAGACATCTATGTAATTAAACTTTTACTAACTGTTCATACCTACCTCCACCTCAAAAGAAAAAAAAAACCTTATGCACCAGTTGGTCAGAAATCATGTTTTGTAGTACCCAAAATTAACTTGAAACTTTCCAAGCTGGATAACATACAGTACACTTTAACAGAGATTACTGGTGTGCATAAAAATGTGAACACATTATCATCACCTGAATATCTAAGCTAATGGAGTATTACTCACAAGCACATCGTTCTCAAACAGTTCAGATGTTTCCTAATCTTTATTCTTGCAACCGTCTCCAAAAGCAGTGATAATTTGTGATGCAAATTCTTTTCAAGGCATAGGTGTTTAAATGAGTGTTCTTCAGAATTTCAACTATTAAGGCAGCAATATTATATATTGATATTTAGGATTCAGTCTTTTGTGTATAATATGCCAAACGGAATTATTTTTATCCTGCTCCTCAATGGTTGCCTAGTTATAATTCTTTGGAGTGTATTTGACTTTAAATGTAAACGCAGTAAAATAACATTCAGTTGAAATAAGCCAACAGGCTTGGAAAAATGAAGAGAAGTTAGCAAGGAATGGTAATTTTCTGTAGACTTTAAGCCAACCTGGACAGTAATATTCTTCCTTTAGAATTTTCTATGTTTATACAGCAAGTTCTATTAAATGGATAAAAATCTCTATTCTTTGTTATTTTCCTTTGTGCTGTACAGACAAATGGACAGGGCTCGGGGGCTCCATTTTTTGCTCTGCCACTGATCTATTCAATGACTCTGGGCATGTCATTTTACCGCCTGTTTTTCACTAAAATGGGGGTAAGGATACTGGCCTCCTCCTAAGTGCTGTGATCTAAGCAGCATAACACAGTATTATTCTAGTCTCCAAGATTTTGAAATATTTTTTCTAGAAACTACTTTTATGTCCATGGACATGTGTTTCATGACTGTAAACCACTATTTAATTTTTGTAGAATTTTGTTTAGTTTCATCCCTATTGAATTTAGTAATATTTTCCAATAAGGGTACTGTTTTTTGGTAGGGGCATTGAAGTATAATCAGATGAAAGATAACCAAAATGAAATATTATTCTTCACATCGCTGTCTCATCTGCATACAGTAGGGTATATTTAGAATCTAAGTCAGCCTAGGATATAAAAGATGCATACTGCTAGAACAGATGAAGGATGCCATTATTAAAATTATGAAAGGATAATATTGGTATTTTATTTTTAACTTATTTCCTGTTTTTGCTGGCCTTGTCACAGAAGCTTCCTTTCTACTTCTTTTCCTTAAAATATACATGTACTGTTTTTTCTCATGCTAGGCGCGATGTTTCAGAGCCTCTGGGTGTGGATGTCTCAAGTCATTTGAGGCAAAGAGGAAGATATGGCATTGACTCAGAAACCAGACCAGTTCAAAGAGAAATGGGAGAACATAGGGGCTTTTTCTTCAGCTGTGTTTATAAATCTATTCATTTCCCTTATGCACACAGGTTGTAGAAAGCAGCCATCCAGGTGGCATGTGGCATTCTGCATCTATGTGGCAGTTGCAAGGCAGCCAACCTATATTCTCAGTGGCAATTGCTATAAAATAGAGCCTGACATGGTCTCACTTCTACTAGTATGCAAGCTGAGACTGAGTTGCTGCTGATCCACTGGAGTATTCTTCTTCTGTAAGAATAAGTAATCAGAGAGGAGTTACTGAATTTGCCTACTGTAGTGGGGAGGGAAGGATCCACAGAGTGTAATGCTGTCCCTTAACTCATCAAATGGTTTCTCTTGTCTCTCTCCCTTCCTCTCTCTCTCTCTTTCCCAGCCCTTTGAAATAAGTTTAAGTCACACACCATTGAAAAGAACATTGAAAAATACAACAGACAATTATTCAACTTCCTTATTTATTTCCCTCTCTATAGACTGTCCAGACAATTCAACGTCTTAATTTCCTGTCTCTTCCCACTACACCACCTTTTCCCGAATCTCCTTTGCTCATGACACTATCACAGCAATGCATCAAATTATTTATTTAGGCTTATTGTTTCCTTTTTCTAAAAATAGGCTGTACTCATAAATATAAATCTTGGTGACATTTGCACATTATGTGTATATTTTGGTACATCCATTACTATGCTGAAATGAAGTGCTACATGTTACGCAGTGGAGAACAGTTCTCTGCAAGGTGTCAGCTATAGGAATTACAGTTTTCTGACATGAACTAGGTGCTTCTGGAAAGGTTAAGAGTTCAAAAATTAACATTTTCTTTGCTTTTTGTCATCTCATTGCACTAAAAACATAGGGCTGCAACTATTATTCAACACTTCATGAACTTATGCTGTAACTGCACTTGATTTCAGCCTTGTGTCCAACTATGGACTAGGCACAAATTAGTCATGAGTACTAGCTCAAAAGTTCTTGTTTTTTCTACATTTGTTTTTTTATGGGTAATATAACTACTTCAAGCCAAGGGAATTTCATTCTAATTCTGCATAGCAAAATGAGAGCGTGACGTACCAGCCACATGGTCTAAGATTTTACTCACAGTACCTGGTAGCCTAATCATGGGAATAGGAGTTTTCAGTTCTGCCTCTCACTCACTATAACATCTCTGGTACCCACAGCCTCCATTTACTTTCTTTCAGTAGAAGTATCCATAGCATAGATACCCTTGCATAGATTGTAGAGAAGATAATGAATTAAGGTTGCATTAAATCCATACAAAGATATTACAAATGATACAAACATAATAATAAAACCGGACTAATTGGCATTTGTAGTAGTGTGCTTTGAGATCTTTCTAATGAAGGGTCCTGTATAAAAACCAAGTATTATTAGTAGGTACTGAAGTAAAATTTGGGAGACTAGTTCTTAAAATAATTTTAAAAACTTGCTCACTTTCCAAGGATTTTGTCTGGTGAGCAGATGCAGGGGGAGGGAACAGATTTTATATCCCGTCGAAAGTCATTAAAACACAATGTAACAAACTGTTTTTTCTTAAAGTTTTGGTTTTCTTTAGACTCATTTTTCTTACCTTTTCTCCCCAGGTATTATGATAATTTTACCCAGTGCACAGAGCATGAAGCCAACAATGCAAGCTGCTTCTGGCCAAACCCCCTTGCAGAGCACTTCATCACTGGAATCCATAAACAATTCTTTTCAAATTGTACATCAGAAGAGGTCCATTGGGAAGATCCTCCAGATGAAATTCTCATACCTCTGATCTTAATCCCTGTCTTGCTGACAGGTGCCATGATAACGCTGGTGGTGTGGTGCAGTAAGAGAAGTGATATTTTAGTATGAACCACACTTTGTTTTTCCCCCATTTTCTGTCTTTTAAAATATAAGAAGAAAAGTTGATTCCGTTTCACATTTCAGATCTGAAGAGCTTTAACCTGTCAGGTACTAAGAGAGAAAACTTTCCTATGGTCAAACAAGTGTTCTGCTTGGACCTAAAGACAACTTCTAAACTGAAGGTTTTCAGCATTGCTCATACAAAGAAACCATGTTTTCATCAAAACCAGTGTGGTTAACAGGTCATGGAAATCCCATTCAGGTTTGGATAATGAGGGAATGGACTTGCTAGCCGAAGGAGAGTTTGGTTGAGTGAGCTAAAATTTTTTAAAATGTTATGTATATGTATTTGAATGCACAATTAGTGATTAATTTGCCTTATTTACAATGGTGTTATGCTGGACCTTTGAGTTTTCCTTTGTTAACTTTGTTACTTCAGTGGAAGAGACCCACTAAAGCAATTTAACAAGAAGATTACCACGAGGCAGCTTTTCTTGGAGGTTAATACAAACATATTGAATTAAAGATTGCAACTGTTGTCTTGGGGGAAGGAACAATTCATACGGCCAGTGACTATTATACAGAGAAAACATTGTGTATCTAAAACGTCCTTTGGCTTATTTAGAATTGGCTCATCTAAGAAGGGACTTCAGGAAGGATGAAGATCTTTTCCCAGAGCTGGAAAATACGAATGGGAAGTGGAATGATTATGAATTTACCAAGGAATGGTAAAGGAACTGTCATATGCCATATCCCTTTTTTCTTTGTTTTAATTATTATTCTTATTATATTGATGACTGTGTTCACTGTGTGCCCCCTATTTTCACTTCACAAAGAATCTTTTTTGTTCAAGTGATGTCCTCTAAGCAACAATAATAAAAAGTGTTATATTAATTGAGGTGCTTTTCAGAGTTTAATTTTGAACACAAGTCATTTTCCATCTCTTAAAAAGTGCAGAAGATGTGAAAGATGTGAAAAGAAAAGAGGTGAGAACAATGCTTGGAATTGATAGAGCATGGAGGAATGGAAAGAAACAAATTCAATGCAATAAGGCTTATTAAAAGACAACACACTCCTATATAATGATATAAAGAAATACAGAATGTCCCAAATATATTTTCTTTTTGTGTTCCTATTGTAACATTTTTTCTTTGTTATATACTAAATGTCTTTTAAACCAAATATTCCATTATTCTGAATACTCAAGACTTTTCATGCATAAATACTCATTTCTATACCTCGGACACTAAAATAAAATACAGCTAGAACTGCTAAACAACTATGTCTTCTATATCTACTAGATAGATTTCCATCTGTATGTTTTTAACCTGGTATTTGGGATGCTTCTCATATATGGGACATATGAGAAATATGCTTCTAAATTAACATACAGATTCTCCCCTGTTTAAAAAGAATACGTATAGAAAGATAAACTGTACTTGTAGCTCTACTACTTTGTATGCATCTTCCCCAGAAAAGCAGATATAATATATATATGCATGTGGGTTCTGGTCCCTTTAATATAATTAATGCTATATTTTTAGTAATAACAGGTTTTGTAAGATACTTCCCATGTGCATTTCAGTAAATAGTGACTCATTTTCCTTCTTTATGCTAATTGTCAGTTTATATTTGTAAAATCTGTCAAGATGAAGATATATGCACAAAATATTTTTATTGATGTTATATTTAATAGATATTAAAGAGCCCTGTGTTCCAGCATCATGTTTAGAGCTGTGAGAAAAATGTATGCTTTTTGGTTCACTGGCTTCACAAAAACCATGCAAAAATGTTTCCTGTTGGCCCAAAATGAAACATTTTTGATATCTTTGGCAAAATGAAAGACCAAAAAAAAAATCATTGTGAAAGATTGAAATCTTTACCTTGACCCAAAATGAATTTTTTCTTTGGGGTTTTAATTTTCTTTTAAAATTAAGCCTTGCCAAAATTCAGAACATTTTAAATTGGAATACTTAAATTGCTTTGTTTTTTTTTAACGATGAAATAAAACATTTGCCTTTCAGATTTTGTTTTATGCTTTTTTTTTGGTCTGAGCTTATTTGCTGAACTTGTTATAGGTCCTTTTATCGTGGTTGACCAGAAGTGGCATTTGTCATTGAATAAACTATTCATCTGAAGGTGTCCTTCCAGCTCTAGTCATGGTGAATGACATCAACTAGTTTTGGAACCTAATTAAAGGGAAATTCTCACGTTGCATTTTGATGACATCATCCTTTTGCATACTTACTATGCTTTCAAAACAAAAATATTTCAATGAACTAGATGCCAAATTTAATACTGCTTTGTTTTGTTTAATGCTTCCCCATAGACTAAAGGGAAATTTTTCAAAAGCAACAGAAAGCATGGACAGGGGTTACATTTCTAGCAAGGGAAATGCCATGCTCCCACTAGTAACTGGGAGCATACATATGTTCATACAGTTTTTCCTGCAGTGGAAATGTTGGATATGGGGAAAAGATTTCCCTCGGCAAGAAAGACCTTGCCTGTTAAAGAGTTTCTTATGAAGGAACAAATGCCTGCATGCTTTCCCGCTGTTTGATTGCTCCTGGTGATGGGGAGGAATCAAACAGCAGGGAAAGGCTCCCCGTATCTTCCCCAGATTGGGGTGACTGTAAAGATTTGAGCAGTAGTTGCCCTCTGTTATGGTTTCCAAGGAGAGAGGGGGTGGCTTCAGGCTGGAATACCTGTATGCTCCCTCTTGTGAAGTTTTCCAGTGCTGCAAATTTCCCAGAAATGTGTGGTGCTAGAATGTCTATCCATAGCCTAAGTCACTTTGGGCACGTAAAACTAATTAGCTCTAATGAGAAGCAAAGTTTATCAGATCACTTGCAGTGTCACCATAATGTGGCCACATAATTTCTTATTCTAGAGCTGGCACTGGCAGAGTTCATGTGGAGTATCCTTCAACAGCACTGCCTTGCATGGAGAGCTTTGTTACTTTGGATTGTACCTTGAAATTCAATAGAGTTGTTATACTAATGAATGCAAGGAAGTGATTAGGTTGAAGGGATATAAATGTAATGGGCCTTTTCCTCACAGTTTATTTTATTTTTCAAAAGAGAGGATCTTTTGCAGGCACAAATATATTTAATTTTCCCTAGATGTGAAATTCTGTTAAATTAATCCTCTAATCAAATTAGGACTTTTCTAATCTGTTTGTTGACTATGCATAGGTGTTCAGGCAGAGAATTTAAACAAGCAAATGGGAAAAAGAGACCACCAATTAGTACAGCTGAAACTGTAGCTGCTGAGTATTTGCAGAAACCCTTCTGGGGAAGAAAGAAACCACAGTAACCAGTTTTTAACAACTCCACTGCATTAATAAGAAGCCAGTGAAATAGATACTGAATCTTTTGATGCTATTTGCATTGGAGAAAGAAAAAATGTGTTCTACTCTACTCTAATGTGGCTATGTTGCATGCATGGCTGCTTGGTCACCTTTCCCCGCCCTAGCCTGGGTCCTGTGCCAAGAAAATCATGTCTGGCCTTAAAAATGTAGTTCATTTTATAATTGCAAATTAATTTCATGTTACAAGAGAGTCTCAGAGGAAAATAGGCAGAAACTCAAAGAAAAACAGTCCAAAAATCCCACTTAGAATTGAAATAGTGTTTGCACCAGAAAACACAGTGGTCATAAAGGGCAACATGCTGAGATAAAAATGAGAAAACATGTTTGCAAGCACTATTAACAGCAGAAAACTAATGGCATCCTTGCTAAGCAGACAGAAAAAGCAATAAATGTCACTGTTTTCTGATTCTGTGTGTGGGAGGGATATGGCTATATGTTCTTATTTATATAAGGTGAAACACCTTCAACAGGGAAGATTGGACCATCTAGGATCAGGGCAATCTTGTGACAGGAAAAAGACCTAGTATCAAGTCCTTGATCCATGCCAGGTAGAATGGTAGGAAAATAAGTGTAATGAAGCAGGCTCTCTGCTGCTCTCTTTGTGAGAAAGGGCTGTCCTAGCTTAGTCATCAAGTTCCAGGAAAGGATTCATGCGAAAAGATATGCACCTACCTCCACCTTAAACTGAAGTGCCTAACTCCCTTTGAGACATTTTGTCCTGGCTAATTTAGCTCACTTCCTGTTGATCACATTGGCTTTTTAGGAACCCATTTTAGGTGCCCATTTACAGTCCGTCAGATGCCTAGTGAGTTTAGGCATGGGGATACATTATATGCAAATCTGGGAGCCTAATATGGGATTGCAAAATCCACTGAGCAAGAGGCTCCTTAGAGTTAGGTACTCCAGTGCTAAACATCACCCTGCTTGAGGCCCTTTGTGGATATAATCTTCAAGTACAGAACCTGAAATGTATTTAGGTGCTTACCTCTGATTGAAATTATAGAGAGATTTTGGTCTTCCTTGTCTCCCATTTGTAAAATAAGTTTAATGTTTCCCTATGTGATAGTGGTCATTTAGTGATAAAATCATTAATGGTTATTCATTTACATGCCACAGTAATGACAGCCATGTAAGTGCTGAGATATATTATTATAAGAATATTCATTATAGCATTTGTGATTGTGTTTCAGTGCCAGCCACATCAGGGCCTTAAGCAGCTGATTTACTTTCAATAATATGATTTTGCACTTGTAACACTTTCACAAAGCATTTTGTAAACTTGAATTAATACCCAGTAGTGGCCCTGTGAAGTAAGGCAGAAGGCAGGGCAGGCAAGAATGGTCGTGTCATTATTGCCATTTAGTTAGGAAATTTGAGGTAAAGAGGTTGTATTTGTGCTGATAGCTTTTGTAGCACCTTGGTAAGTACATAGTCCTTACCATGATCAAAATCGAGTCTCCACCTCTGCCTCTGGAGTCTGATCCTGTTGGTGAGGCTTAGATGTGCTCCGAGAATGTCTGAGATCAGGGAATTTAGGTGGAGGAATGTCTCGTTTCTAAATCCAATCACATGTTAGATGGAGGATAAGCACTGAGCTGCACAGACTAGGGCAGATCTGGGAAGGCCGATCTCTAGGCATTTTGCCATCCATAAGGTGCCTAGTGAGTGTAGGCATCTCTAGGGTTTGATGGCAGCACCTTTGGGAACTGAATGGGTTTGTGGGACAGAATGTCTTAGATTCTTTTTCTCCTATTTCATATATTGTTTCTGTTCCTTACTGATATTGTTAATCATCCTAATGTCAGTGTCCATAGTACACTAATGTCAGTGGGATTTTCAGGATTAGAAACTTGAACACAGGTGGAATTTAAACACCTAAGTTCTGCTTTATGCACTTTTGTAAGATCTAGCTTTCCATTTCCCATCTGTAAAATGGGCATAACAGTACTTCCCTGATTCTCAGAGCTGCTGTGAAAATACATATGTTAAAACTGAGAGGCACTCAGATACACTGTGGTAATATACATACTATAGACATTTATTGGAATAACCTAATAAATAAATTCTAAAACATTTTTGGGAGATGAATGGACATGTGGGACAGAGCCTGTTAGAATTTTTCTCCTATATTGTGTGTTTTCCTTCCTAATATTTTCTTACATCAGCCTAATGTCAACTGGGCGGTAAGGGAGGTTATGACAGATAGGATTATCTTTCTCTACTGTTAGCTTTCACATAGTCCTTTTGACATTTGCATTGTCATGAAGCTTCTAGGTAATTTAAAAGCAAGTTTTGGGAGGCAGTTTCAGGAACATTAAAGATGCAAAATAGCAATGCAGTACAGGGTATTATTTCATGAGAGATTGTTTATAGCTGGAATTTCTTGATTGGGATGGTAAGTAATTGTACTGTTTTTGTGGAGAGCTCACCAGGCTAAAGTGCAAGTAAATTTATAGGTAATAAGTAGAAGTACACAGTCATTTTCATGATATCGTGCTTTTAAGGATTTAAACTTTTATTCTGTACCT